GGAGATGGTGAACAGAGCGCTGTTGGACTTATAGCTCTAGCTCCTTGATTCAATCCAGTGCAGCATCCAACACACCTATAGAAAAGAAAGGGGTAATTTATATGGCAAAATTGTACTATTATTCAGTTTGAAAGTCAGTATCATGACACAGTAAACCAACTCTGACTTAGTCTAGGTCTCAGGACAAACGTAATCAAGTATGTTATGGTAGCGAGTTAGTAGTTTTGTTATTGTTATTTCAAAAGCTGAACTATAGCAACCGTTTGCATAACTACAGCGCTGAGCTACAACACATCATCAACCATCTGGAAAACCTAAGTTGACGTTACTCACCAGGGAGAGGAGGGCAGGCATAGTCATGGTCCGCTGCAGTCACTTCATAGGCACCAACACTTGTGTCCATAGCGGAGACACCCACTTCCTGTTCCCGGACATTGGTACCCAGTCGCGCACTTGCTATATCAAAAGGAGAGACCCGAGACTGCAGGCTCTTCCCCCAGTCGTTCCAGGAGAACCGACAGGGAACGTTCATTCTTAATGCGAGAACGGCCTTTTGGTGTCAAGTAGATGTTGGCCGGGGTAAAATGCAGGCTACAGACGAAAGTGCTCCCACGTATAATAGTGAAGTCCGAGCCCTCATTCCTTCTAATTGCTCTCACCCAGCTGTCACGTAAAGTCGCATCCTTTGGGAAGTTGTGAAAGCTGAGATAGGGGTGATTTTTGTTTGTTGTTTGAACATAAAAGGGACACTACAGTAGCATTGGCGAGAGGACTGTGCCGGCATTATTATGCTAGCTTGCTAACTGCGGTTTTGCTAGCGACCAGAACATAAACCGGAAAATAAACAGCGGCGCTTTTCTGAACTTCGGTTCTACAAACCCGGAAGCGTAAAATAATCCTATATGGAACTTTTTGGGCGACCTGACCAAATTAACATAGTAATGTGAGTTATAGATCTGTCATTCTCATTGAAAGCAAGTCTAAGAAGCGGTAGATCTGTTCTATGTGCGCTATTTGTATGCTTCCCGTTCTTAAGTTTTGTTTTTGTGTCTTTTAACTTTTGTACACATCAGCTGAAAATACAATATTTTTTGATTATGATAAAGATACAGTGAATTCGGAAAGCACTCAGACCCCTTAACTTAACACATTTTGTTACGTTTCAGCCTTATTCTAAAATGGATTAAATAAATGTTTTTCCTCATCAAATCGACACACACAATACCCCATAATGACAAAGCGAAAAAAACAGGTTTTTAGAAATGTTTGCAAATGTAATAAAAATAAAAAACAGACCCTTTGCTATGAGACTCAAAATTGAGCTCAGGTGCATCCTGATGTTTCTACAACTTGATTGGAGTCCACCTGTGGTAAATTCAATTTATTGGACATGATTTAGAAAGGCACACACCTGTCTACAGTGTTTTTCCCCTCATCAATCTACACTCAGTACTCCATAATGACAAAGCAAAAACAGATTTTTAGAAATTTTTGCTAATTTATTAAAAAGAACAAACGGAAATATCACATTTACATAAGTATTCAGACCATTTACTCAGTACTTTGTTGAAGCACCTTTGGCAGTGATTACAGCCGCAAGTCTTCTTGGGTATGACGCTACAAGCTTGGCACACCTTTATTTGGGGAGTTCCTCACATTCTTCTCTGCAGATCCTCTCAAGATCTGTCAGGTTAGTTGGGGAGCGACGCTGCACAGCTATTTTCAGGTCTCTCCAGAGATGTTCGATCTGGTTCAAGTCCAGGATCTGGCTGGGCCACTCAAGGACATTCAGAGACTTGTCCTGAAGTCACTCCTGCGTTGTCTTGGCTGTGTGCTTAGGGTCGTTGTCCTGTTGGAAGGTGAGCCTTCGCCCCAGTCTGAGGTCCTGAGCAGGTTTTCATCAAGGATCTCTTTATACTTTGCTCCGTTCATCTTTCCCTCGATCCTGACTAGTCTCCCAGTCCCTGCCGCTGAAAAGCATCCCTACAGTATGATGCTGCCACCACCATGCTTCACCGTAGGAATGGTGCCAGGTTTCCTCCAGACGTGACACTTGGCATTCAGGCCAAAGAGTTCAATCTTGGTTTCATCAGACCAGATAATCTTGTTTCTCATGGTCTGAGAGTCATTTAGGTGCCTTTTGGCAAACTCCAAGCAGGCTGTCATGTGCCTTTTATTGAGGAGTGACATCCGTCTGGCCACTCTACCATAAAGGTCTGATTGGTGGAGTGCTGCAGAGATAGTTGTCCTTCTGGAAGGTTCTCCCATTTCCACAGAGGATCTCTGGAGCGCTGTCAGAGTGACCATTGGGTGCTTGGTCACCTCCCTGACCAAGGCCCTTCTGCCCCGATTGCTCAGTTTGGCCGGGCGGCCAGCTCTAGGAAGAGTGTTGGTGGTTCCAAACTTCTTCCATTTAAGAATGATGGAGGCAACTGTGTTCTTGGGGACCTTCAATGCTGCAGAAATGTTTTGGTAGCTTTCCCCAGATCTGTGCCTCGACACACTCCTGTCTCGGAGCTCTACGGACAATTCCTTCGACCTCATGGCTCGATTTTTGCTCTGACATGCACTGTCAACTGTGGGACCTTATATAGACAGGTGTGTGCCTTTCAAAATCATGTCCAATCAATTGAATTTGCCACAGGTGAACTCCAATCAAGTTGTAGAAACATCTCAAGGATTATCAATGGAAACAGGATGCACCTGAGCTCAATTTCGAGTCTCATAGCAAAGGGTCTGAATACTTATGTTTAAAAAGGTATTTCTGTTTTTTATTTTTAATAAATTGGCAAACATTTCTAAAAACCTGTTTTCACTTTGTCATTATGGGGTATTGTGTGTAGATTGAGGATGTTTATTTATTTAATCCATTTTAGAATAAGGCTGTCATGTAACAAAATGTGGAAAAAGTCGAGGGGTCTGAATACCTTCGGAATGCACTGTATTTAAGGTCCCACAGTTGACAGTGCATGTCAGAGCAAAAACCAAGCTATGAGGTCGAAGGAAATGTTCGAAGAGCTCTGAGACAGGATTGTGTTATGGTACTGATCTGGGTAAGGGTACCCAAAAATCTAAAAGTACTGAGTAAAGTCTGAATATGTCAGTTTTTTATTTTTAATACATTTGCCAAAATTGTTTTTTTTTTTTAATCATTTTTTTTTTTTTTTTTTTTTAATCATTTGCCAAAACCTGTGTTTGCTTTGTCAATATGGGGTATTGTGTGTAGATTGATGAGGGGAAAAAACGATTTAATCAGTTTTAGAATAAGGCTGTAATGTAACAAAATGTGGAAAAGTCAAGGGGTCTGAATACTTTCCGAATGCACTGATATTTCAGTGGTTTAGATGGTACAATGAATCTCTACACTATACCTTGTTTTGTCACATAAACTGAAATTAGGCGAACTATTAGAATTTTAGCAACCAGGAAATTGCTGCGTGATATCTGCATAGTGCTTCTTTAAAGGGACATTTCAAAATTGTTCTACTTCATATTCATCATCTCCAGCACCACCCTAACACCAACATATGTGAAAACTGCATGTTTCTATGTTTTGTGGGGAAAAAAGATAGTGATAAGTGTTTCCAATGACATCATCAGTGTGCATGGTGATTTTAACCAATTACTAATTGGTTGAAGTCGGCGTTCCAGCTGTGTGGATTTGATTTGAGCATGTGCTAGCACCAGCAGAGCGAGCCTCCCTCTTTTGCGCAAGTGAAGTGAGTTTGGAGAAACTGAAAGTAAGCATTTAAGAAATAGTTTTCACATACAGACTTTATATGTTCGAACTCAGCATCAAAAAGGCTTCCCAAAAATAACATGGTCGCTGTGATAGAACATTTACATAAGTCCCATCAGGTAGCCTTATTTCAGATCTGTCCATGTTAACAGGATTATGAGGGAAATCGTTCTTCTTGCAAAGCATGTAAACATTTAAATCAAACTATTATATTTATCTGAGTACATTGACTGTTGGGCGCAGTTTGCATCAGATTGCTATATCATATGATGTGGTTGGCTGATATTTTAAACACTGATCCAGATCTGGCATGTGTGTCCAATGTAGTCCGCCTGGAACATGACCTATGACTGCGGGGCTCCAGACTAACAGTTTCCCTTAGTGGCACTGGTAACTTTTGCAGTTGGATGCACCGGCCCATGATTTGGCCGCACCAACATTTTTTGCGGCGTCGCGCAATAGAAAAAATAAGTCATCAATTTAGTCATTCACAGTGCTTTATTAAGGGGTGTAATAGACTACTGAGCTGGGATTCAATAAATCTGTTTTCATTTAACATGTCCATGCAGTAATGCATGATATTAGATATTTTTATGTGCAACCTAATCCAGTGATTGTCATGAGTTTTGGGGCATTTTACTGTTAAAATCTGGCTTTTTTTTGTTCAGTAGATGAATTTGCCTTAATCTTTATGTGCAATAATATCATAGGCTAATTTATTTGGGGCTAATTCACCATCTGACTAAGTGGAAAATCAAAACACCCACTGCTGGTAGCCATGTATTAATCGAACAGTAAATTCAATGTCCTAAAACAACTTTGCAGTTGCACACGCATTGACCAATGTGCACTCCGTATCTCAACGCTATATCAAATATCAAAATTGTAAAATAGTTGCTATAGAGCTAAATATTGAGAGTTGAGAAATACAAATTATACAGAGAGTGACAACAGATGCTTCCAGATCTGTACAGGCAGGTCAGACTTTCATTACAGTAATCATAAGGATAGTTTTAGCCTCCTAAAAAAGTAAACATTTTATTGGTCGAATCGGTGTGAGCTGCACATTCTGCATAGCCACCTGACCATGTAGTATGCGGCTCGCACCGATACGACCAATAAAAATTGTACTCACACAGCCAAGTAAACGGGTCGCAAAATGCGATTAAATGGTCGAAGTCTGGAGCCTTGGACTGCCAGGAGTTTTTCCTGACCATGTGACTGACTCTGTAACTCATACACACTTCTCTCTCTCTCACAGCTGGATGACCCTCTGGCTGCTTTCCCCATCTTTAAAAAGTATGACAGAAACGGGTAAGAGATTCTCCTCCTGTGCCTCTCCAGTGTGTGTGGGTGTGGCAGGCTGGTTGATAAACATCTGCTCTGTCAGGGCTGAGTGGTTTATTGTGTGAGATGCATAGCTAACTACTCGTGTCCTGTCTCTCTCGCCTGTAGGTTGAATCTCCAGATAGAGTGTAAGAGAGTGTCCACCTTCAACCCTATCTCTGTGGAGTGGGCCTATGAACTAACCAGGACCAACATGCAAACACTGTAAGGAGAGAGGGTTGAGGGGGAGAGCAGAGCGCAGGGATGGCAGATTGGAGGGTGTGTGTGTGTGTGTGTGTTAGGGATATAGGCTATAGGTTAATTTGCATAATTTAGTGGAATTAAATTGGTGTCATAAAACCGGAACAGTGTCGCAGTCGACCGGAAATATTATTTTGTCGAAAATGTAATGTACAGGAAAGTAGCTTGCTTAAAGGTAGCTCAGTGATATGACATAGATGCAGAAAGTAAACAGCATATTGGGTCAATTTCTGCAACAACTAAGACTGTTGAAGCTCAATGCTCAACTTCATCGCTGTTTTGGTGCCCTGGCTACCACGCTGTAGCAGCGTGAAACCGCTTGCATGATCAGGTGCGTATTTTATACCAGTGTTTTTCCGCAAATTGCATTTGAGCAAATGTTTGAAAATGATGTATTGCTTCATTAAAGTAGTTGCATGTTCAATAATATGACACTTGCTATTGTCGCATGTTTTTTAAGCCCTTATTGAAAAAGGTGTGTTCCTTGTACCCATGCATAGCATTTTCTGTTGGTCATGTCATTTTACTGTTTGGAACAAATTTAACCGTTTGTTAACCGGTTAATGGGGGTTGGTTAGGTGGCAGCAAAATTGACAGAAATGTGCACCCCTAGTGTGTATGTGAGTGTGTTTAACATTTCCCTCTTGTAAGGATCAATAAAATATTCTGCTGCTTCTTCTGTGATGCAGGTACGAGCAGAGCGAGTGGGGATGGAAGGAGAGAGAAAAGCGGGATGAGATGAACGACGAGAGGGCGTGGTATCTCCTGGCCCGAGACACAGACTCGTCCCCCGTGGCCTTCTCTCACTTCCGATTCGACGTCGAGTGCGGGGAGGAGGTGTTATACTGGTAAGGGTTGTCATGGAGGGGATTTGATTAATGCCTGGGGTAAACTGGGTTAGCATTGACTGCATTAGTTTTGGATTGATTGCGTTCATTTTGGGACCGGGCTGCTTCCGGCCGTGAGCCAGGTGCCCCGTTTTAGCGGGGAAGTCAGCTCAAAACAAAAGTGATGTAGGTTAAGCAGGTGGAGTAATGAGTGCGATTCTGTGTTTTCACATGCAAACGTGATTGCTTGTGGTAAAAACGCTTTATCTGCCTTCCCAATGAAAACTAGTTTGCCAACATGACCAAGTTGCGCAGATTATTGTTGGATTTGAGAAAGGAGCTCCTCCCTCACTGCTTTTGCCAGTTCACGTCACGGGCGTCTTCCCACATCGTCTACTTCTCCAAATCCATTTGTGAAGATCCGAGGGTAGGAACCTCAGATCTTCTGCTCCAATGTGCTTTGAGAAGGAGACGACTAGGAAGGAGACCGTGATGAATCAAGGAAATACAGTTAGTGGCACTACTATTGAAAGGGATTGTTGTCGAATGGTATTATCATTGTGTTATTCTGGATGTTGATGTGTTGTTATTGTTGTGTTTTTTTGTAGTTATGAGGTCCAGTTGGAGAGCAGAGTGAGGAGGAAAGGACTGGGCAAGTTCCTCATCCAGATACTACAGCTCATTGCCAACAGGTACATATTATATATGAGTATTCACTGATTGTACAAAACATTAAGGACACTTTCTTAATATTGAGTTGCACCCCCCCTTTTGCCCTCAGAACAGCCTCAATTAGTCGGGGCATGGACTCTACAAGTTGTCGAAAGCATTCCACAGGGATGCTGGCCCATGTTGACTCCAATGCTTCCCACAGTTGTCAAGTTCGCTGGATATCATTTGGATGGTGTACCATTCTTGATACACATGAGAAAATGTTGAGCGTGCAAAACTCAGCAGCGTTGCATTTCTTGACACAAACTGGTGCGCCTGGCACCTACTACCATACCCCGTTCAAAGGCACTCTGAATGGCACACATACACAATCCATGTCTCAATTGTCTCAAGGCTTAAAAATCCTTCTTTAACCTGTGTCCTCCCCTTCATATACACTGATTGAAGTGGATTTAACAAGTGACATCTATAAGGGATCATAGCTTTCACCTAGTCAGTCTGTCATGAAATGAGCAGGTGTCCTTAATGTTTTGTACACTCAATGTATAATATAGTGTTATAGTAATATATATGAATATAGTAGTATAGTATATTAGTGTGTATATATACTGAACCAAAATATAAACGCAACTTGCAACGATTTCAAAGATTTGACTGAGTTACAGTTCATGTAAGGAAATCAATAAATAATTTAAATAAATAAATTAGGCCCTAATCTATGTATTTCACATGACTTGGAATACAGATATGCATCTGGTCACAGATACCTTTAAAAAAAGTAGGGGCATGGATCAGAAAACCAGTCAGTATCTGGTGTGACCTCATGTAGCACGACATCTTTGCATAGTTGATCAGGCTGTTGATTGTGGCCTGTGCAATGTTGTCCCACTCCTTTGCAATGTCTGTGCGAAGTTGCTGGATATTGGCGGGAACTGGAACATGCTGTCGTACACATCGATCCAGAGCATCCCAAACATGCTCAATGGGTGACATGTCTGGTGAGTATGAAGGCCATGGCAGAACTGGGACATTTTCAGCTTCCAGGAATTGTGTACAGATACTTGCGACATGGGGCCGTGCAACTCAATTAGTATTTGGTAGATTTGCCTTTAAATTGTTTAACTTGGGGTCAAACGTTTCGGGTAGCCTTCCACAAGCTTCCCACAATAAGTTGGGTGAATTTTGGCCCATTCTTCCTGACAGAGCTGGTGTAACTGAGTCAGGTTTGTAGGCCTCCTTGCTTTTTCAGTTCTGCCCACACATTTTCTATAGGATTGAGGTCAGGCTTTGTGATGGCCACTCCAATACATTGACTTTGTTGTCCTTAAGCCATTTTGCCACAACTTTGGAAGTATGCTTGGGGTCATTATCCATTTGGAAGACCCATTTGCGACCAAGCTTTAACTTCCTGACTGATGTCTTGAGATGTTGCTTCAATATGTCCACATCATTTTCCTTCCTCATGATGCCATCTATTTTGTGAAGTACACCACTCCCTCCTGCAGCAAAGCACCCCCACAGGGGTGATGATGCCACCCCCGTGCTTCAAGGTTGGGATGCTGTTCGTCGGCTCGCCTTTTTCCTCCAAACATAACGATGGTCATTATGGCCAAACAGTTTTGTTTCATCAGACCAGAGGACATTTCTCCAAAAAGTATGATCATTGTCCCCATGTGCAGTTGCAAACCGTAGTCTGGCTTTTTTATGGCGGTTTTGGAGCAGTGGCTTCTTCATTGCTGAGCGGCCTTTCAGGTTATGTCGATATAGGACTAGTTTTACTGTGGATATAGATACTTTTGTACCTGTTTCCTCCAGCATCTTCACAAGGTCCTTTGCTGTTGTTCTTGGATTGAGTTGCACATTTCGCACCAAAGTACGTTCATCTCTAGGAGACAGAACGCGTCTCCTTCCTGAGCGGTATGAAGGCTGCGTGGTCCCATGGTGTTTATACTTGCGTACTATTGTTTGTACAGATGAACGTGGTACCTTCAGGTGTTTGGAAATTGCTCCCAAGGATGAACCAGACTTGTGGAGGTCTACACATTTTTTTCTGAGGTCTTTGATGATTTATTTTGATTTTCCCATGTCAAGCAAAGAGGCACTGAGTTTGAAGGTAGGCCTTGAAATACATCCACAGGTACACCTCCAATTGACTCAAATTATGTCAATTAGCCTATCAGAAGCTTCTAAAGCCATGACATCATTTTCTGGAATTTTCCAAGCTGTTTAAAGACACAGTCAACTTAGTGCATGTAAAGACCTGACCCACTGGAATTGTGATACAGTGAATTATAAGTGAAATTATCTGTCTGTAAACAATTGTTGGAAAAATTACTTGTGTCATGCACAAAGTAGATGTCCAAACCGACATGCCAAAACTATAGTTTGTTAACAAGAAATCTGTGGAGTGATTGAAAAACGAGTTTTAATGACTCCAACCTAAGTGTATGTAAACTTCCGACTTCAACTATATCTGAAGTATTCTACCACCAAGCCCTGTAGAAACTGAATCTTCACTCAGGTTATTTATTTATTTCAATCTCTTTCTGTGTCTCTCTGGTGTCTTTCTCCCACTCTATTTTTCCCCTCTCTCTCTTTCCCCTCTGCTTTCTTTCTCTTTCTTTCTCTCTCTCTCTACCACCCCCACCCCCGTCTGTCTCTCCTCTCTCCCCCCAGCACACAGATGAAGAAGGTGATGTTAACAGTATTCAAACACAACCATGGGGCGTACCAGTTCTTCAGGGAAGCCTTACAGTGAGTCTCCATAGCTTTTCAACAGCTTCTCAGCATGTACAAACACATTATTATTATTATTATTATTATTATTATTATGTTCTTTAGAAATAACTGTTGGCACAGTACTGTAATCAATCCACTCCTTCCTCCATCTCTCTCTTTCCTCTTTCTGTGCATCTCATCTCCCTCCCCCCTACCCTCTCAATATCTCCCTCCTCCTCCCTCACCCCCTCCCAGGTTTGAGATCGACGACACCTCCCCTAGTATGTCTGGTTGCTGTGGTGATGACTGCACCTATGAGATCCTGTCGCGGCGGACCAAACATGCGGAGGCCTCGGGTCACAACCATGGGGGAGGGGGGCACTGTGGGGGCTGCTGCCACTGAGGGACATGCCCACTTCCAGTTCCTGTTTCACCACTTCCTGGTCCCATGCTCTAAAACCTCTCCCACTTTCCTAATCATGAATCATTACCGTTCCCCCCAACCCCCAATCTGACACCCCCCTTTAAGCCCCAAAACTGACAGACCCCCGACCCCCTCTTTTCTGTCCTGTATAGCATCCCTTCCTCCTCCCTCTCTCCTCTCCATATTCCACCTCTTTCCCCTCCATACTATTTCAGTTTTTGATAAGTTAGGAATCTGTCTGTCCACCCCTCCTTCTCTTCAACAGCTTTCTTAACAGTCCCAAGGCTCCGTCTCAGTAATCCTAACGTGTGTACTATTATGGATAGAGCAGTGTATTGGCCAAGCATTCTGAATGGTAGATTAAGGTGGATGTTGGGACAGAGCCCCACAAATGTATTTCTCTTAGTTTGATGAGATGTTCTGTAGATACTTGCACCCCCTCTCTCCTCTCTCGCTCTTTCTCCCTTGCTCTCTCATCTCTCCTCATCAAAGAAATACACAGAGCCTGTGATCAGTTTCAGTTTATCTTCGACAGTTTTCAAAATGCAATTGGATGGCAGGAAGACCCAATGTTGCTATGTTAAGATCCCCTGGCTCCTCCCTAACAACCCCTTCAGTAGTTTGCATGGCAACCAAGTCACAAAAACATTTGTTTTTCTAGATTATCTTTTCGATAGATTTCACCACCCAGACCATTTAGGTCCTGAAATGGCACCATGTTCCCTTTACAGTGCATTACTTTTGACCAGGGCCCATAGGGCTTTGGTCAAAAGTAGTGCACTAAATAGGGGATAGGGTGCCATTTGGGATGCACACTGTTGCTGCCGGCCATGTGGGCCTTGTTGCCATCTCTGTTTACATACAGAAACCTTCAGGCTATTGTAGTGACCTGGGTTGCCAGATTGGGGGGGGGGGGGGGGTTCCATAGAAGTCTATGCGATTGACCCTGTAATTGTTAGTGTAGGTCTCAAATTTACATTTACATTTACGTCATTTAGCAGACGGTCTTATCCAGAGCGACTTACAAATTGGTGCATTCACCTTATAGCCAGTGATGGCACCCCAATCCCTTTATACTGTGCTACTTTTGACCAGGGCCCTTAGAAACCGTTCGGTAGTTTGCATGGCATGTCACAAAAACAGTGTGCAGTAGAAAGGGAATAGGGTGCCATTTGGGACGCAGGGAATGGAAAGAAACTCAACAGATTGGCATCTCACACAGGCTTACAAAAAAAAAAGATATTTAACTTGTGCATTCGGAAAGTATTCAGACCCCTTGACTGTTTCCACATTTTGTTATATTACAGCCTTATTCTAAAATTGATTACATTGTTTTTTCCCCTCATCAATCTACACACACTACCCCATAATGACAAAGCACATGTTTTTTGTTTTGTTTTTGCAAATGTATTAAAAAGAATATGAATATGACATTTACATAAGTATTCAGACCTTTAGTCAGTACTTATTTGAGGCAGATTTGGCAGCGATTACAGCCTCGAGTCTTCTTTAGTATGACGCTACAAGCTTGGCACACCTGTATTTGGGGAGTTTCTCCCATTCTTCTCTGCAGATCCTCTCAAGCTCTGTCAGGTTGGATGGGTGTCCCTGCACAGCTATTTTCAGGTCTCTAGAGATGTTATATCGGGTTCAAGTCCGGGCTCTGGCTGGGCCTCTCAAGGACATTCAGAGACTTGTCCTGAAGCCACTCCTGCGTTGTCTTGGCTGTGTGCTTAGAGTCGTGGTCATGTTGGAAGGTGAACCTTTGCCCCAGTCTGAGGTCCTGAGCGCTCTGCAGCTACTTTGCTCCGTTCATCTTTCCCTCGATACTAACTAGTCTCCCAGTCCCTGCCACTGAAAAATATCCCCACATTATGATGCTGCCACCACCATGCTTCACCATAGGGATGGTGAAAGGTTTCCTCGAGACGTGATGCTTGGCATTCAGGCCAAAGAGTTCAATCTTGGTTTCATCAGACCAGTGAATCTTGTTTCTCATGGTCTGAGAGTCCTTTAGGTGCCTTTTGGCAAACTCTAAGCGGGCTGTCATGTGCCTTTTACTGAGGAGTGGATTCCGTCTGGCCACTCTACCATAAAGGCCTGATTTGTGGATTGCTGCAGAGATGGTTGTCCTTCTGGAAGGTTCTCCCATCTCCACAGAGGAACTCTGGAGCTCTGTCAGAGTGACCATTGGGTTCTTGGTCACCTCCCTTACCAAGGCCCTTCTCCGCCGATTGCTCAGTTTGGCCGGGCGGCCAGTTCTAGGAAGAGTCTTGGTAGTTCCAAACTTCTTCCATTTAAGAATGATGGAGGCCACTGTGTTCTTGGGGACCTTCAATGCGGCAGACAATTTTTGGTACCCTTCCCAAGATCTGTGCCTCGACACAATCCTGTCTCTGAGCTCTACGGACAATTCCTTCGACCTAATGGCTTGGTTTTTGCTCTGACATGCACTGTCAACTGTAGGACCTTATATAGACAGGTGTGTGCCTTTCCAAATCATGTCCAATCAATTGAATTTACCACCGGTGGACTCCAATCAAGTTGTAGAATCATCTCAAGGATGATCAATGGAAACAGGATGCACCTGAGCTCAATTTCGCGTCTCATAGCAAAGGGTCTGAATTTGCAAACATTTCTAAGAACCTGTTATCGCTATTGTGTGTAGATTGATCAGGGAAGATTTTTGTAACGTAACAAAATGTTGAGAACGTCAAGGGGTCTGAATGCTTTCCGAATGCACTGTAGATTAGCTTTTTAAGTACAATCTCTTGTTTCCCCCCTCCTACTTTCCAACCCGATAATATCCTATATCTGTCTCAGGTTTAAATTTCAACTGACACGCCTCGTGTTTCTTATCAAGCATGTTATGGTCCAATAGTTTGGGGTAAGAAGACAAATCACCCCTAACCACAGATCTAGGATCAGATTTCCCAACCCCAAATCTTAACCATTAAACAATAAGGGCCGGTTTTCCAGACACAGATTAGCCTAAAAATAGTCCTGGAATAAAAAACTATTTTAATTGTGATTATCCTTTGAGCATTCTTTTTTTAGTCTGGTAAACAGGCCCATGGTGGGTAAAAATAATATTGGACCTAAGATCACTGGTTAGGGCATAACAATTATAGAACGGTCATCCCCAGTCATGTCAATTGGTGGGTTCCCCTTCTAGAAATCCTATTTCTATAGGTTAGGGGCAACTCTGTTGGGATGCCAGGGCAGTAGGATGAAGTTACCTGTGGACACTGATTTAAGGTCAGTTTTAAGGTTTCTCCCTCTAATGGTTAGGTTTGGGTGGAAGGAATCTGGGTTGGGTGGAGGGAATCTAGACCTGTGTCTATAAGAAGCCTCTACCTGGATTGGTGGCTTTGGTTGGGTTTGTGTTGTAGGGAGTGGTGGGGACCAGTTTTGTTTAAATTGAAAATATTTTTGTTTAGGGAATAAACTTTTAATTTTATGCTATTTTTTAATCAACATCAGACACATTTTTATTTTGACCTTTTGGATATCCTCACCTCAACAAGTTTTTAAAAATATGTTTCTGTCAATCCCTCTCTACCCTTGTCTGTCTCTTTTTCTCTTTTTCTGTGTATATAATCTGTTACAGATTAATTAGATTTGTTTTTATTTGCCTTTTTACAGGTAAAACACTTGTTTCGGTTTAAAAATGACATTTAAACTCAATGTTTGATAATGAGTGGTCCTGTCTTGTGATTGATTGAATATTAACTGACAAAGATGAAAGAGAAAAACTAAACTGTCATTTCTGCCTTGTCAATGTTTTATTTGTATGTTACAAATAAAGGAAACTTGTTTGACTTCTATCCAGTTGTCCGTATTTTAATAATAGGCATGTACGTCCTAAATGCCACCCTGTTCCCTATAGAATGCCCTACTTTTGAACAGAGCATAATGGGCCCTGGTCAAAAGTAGTGCATTTGGGACGTTTAGTCAGTCATAGAACACTTTTGTCAGTCATAGATTCATTTGAATTTCTTACGCAGTTCTCTGAAATGCTGAGTGGAGCCAGAACCTTTATTCATCCTTTATTTTACACAGCCGGTTGAATAGGACATTAAATGTGATAGGAAAGCATCAAACAGGAAGGTGTGATTACTGCCTGTGGAGCATGTACTGATACAGTGTGGGCAGTCTGAGAGGGAAAGAGATTGAGTATGAGGGAGAAGGTTGTACTGGAGATTTGAGTTTAAAGAGCATACTGAGTAGAAGAACATCTTTCAATACAGTCAAATATTTTATATTTTTTAAGAGAAACTGGGCTGGCAGGTTGGATTTACAATAGTTTCTCCCCGTCTCTGGCCCACACTCCAGTACAGTAGGTGGCGGTTTATCAGCGGTTGGCATCCAAACCCCATAGAAGAAGATGCTTTACCAGATATCCCACAGATTATACATTATATTGACCAGATACTCAATTGGCGGCTCTAACAATGAAAATAAGCATCTTCAAAAATGGAAGGCAGTCGGGAGGAGGCAATGAGAGGGCAGATATGAGTGTGATCACAGGCACAACTCCAATATAGTGTTTTTTCTCAGAGTTGCCTGGATGTCACGTGTACTTATCAGTAGCTACACTCATAACAACCTAAGCATTACGAAGCTTCTATTCGATCAAATGCCACACGTACCAAATAAGTCATTACATTTTTTGTTAACCAAATTCGATACTCATTAACTTCCATACAAAAACTCCTGGTTTGGTGAGCAAAATATATTTTTTAAACGCCGCCTGCTGGAGAACACATATTTTGGGCCCTGTTATCCCTCTCGTTTTGCCTCTTCCTCTTTGGAGATACTTTAGAGGAGATAGTCCCAGTCGGTACCCGCGGCGGCTTTGCCGCGGATTCTTTGGCTAAACGGCACAAAACCGTTTCCCATGCATTGTCAATGGCGATTCTAAACCAACCCGGATATAATATAATTCCGGCCACTGGTTGGTTTTGAGGCGCTAGGCTGATTTCCCCATAGGGGACGCTGTAAACAGGAAGAGCCCATCAATCACCCTCGGTCACTGAGCTAGCAAGCTACTGTTAGCTAGTGAGTCACAGAAATGAACGTTCAGCCTGTTAATTACAGTCCGATTGGACTTGTCTTACTTAATCAGCATGGCTTAACATTGTTTCTTTCGTTTTTGACATCGACATTCTTGCTGGATAGATACTTTGATAGCTAACATGCTGGCGCTGCTAGCTAGCTAATGTTAACGACGCTAACGGCGCTAGCTAACATCCTATGTGGATGCATCCATCTAGTTCCCAAGAGCAGCAGACCAGTAAGTCAACTTTGCTTTCAAACGTTGTAATCATTTGTAAAGTTGTTTTACATGCAATCATACTAGCTAGCTAGCAAGATAGATATTGTGTTAAAAAGCCTGTTGATGTCATTGGTTGTTTATTTGGCGCTAGCTAGCTAACCTATGCGGATGCCTCCGTCTAGTTCCCAAGAGCAGCAGACCGGTAAGTCAACTTTGCTTTCGAACTTTGTAATCATCTGTAAAGTTATTTTACATGAAATCATACTAGCTAGCTAGATATGTTTAATTAAAAAGCACGTTGATGTCGTTGGCTGTTTCTTTGGAGCTAGCTAGCTAAGCTATCACTAGTTAGCTAGGTGGTTAATGTGGTGTACAGGAGGCTAGTACCGTTACAGTATTACTGAATGACAACAATATAGCCTTGTCACTACTAGTTGGTTGATATGGGGTGCAGTAGGTTACAGTACAACATTACTAAATGATAACAACGTAGCCTTGTCAGTAGCTAGTAGTTGGTTGATGGGGTGGGGTACAGTAGGCTACAATACAGCAACATTAGCCTTCCTACTGTTCTGTTATTCATTGGGTCTGGAAATTGTTAAATTATCTAATATTATAGAAAGATCACACACTCATGCAGCTGTGGTGGTGTCACGTTGTCTTTATCCATACCATAGCTGCTGCTATAAATATGCCTTTTACTTGACAGCTCGGTCCTCTTTGCCAGGTCTCCCTTGACAAAATTATGTTATTTATGACCTGGTAAAATAAGCTAACGGTTGTGTGCACTCACTAGATAGAATTGTGTGAAGATTTTCAAAAGAAAATAGACATATACAGTATATCATCAGCAATTCTCAATCAGATGACATACACAGCTAACCCAAATTGAGTTTAATTCATTCATAAATGTGGACACTAATTATTGTTAATATTCCAATTCTCTAGGCCCTCCATTCCCAAACCTGAAGCCCCCTGTCCCCAGCATGAAAGACCAGGAAAAAGTGTTGGCTTAAGGTACAACTTCCTATTGAGGAAATGTAAGATAACTCATGTCATATTTAGAGTTACTGACATGAATATAAGCATATACAAGCAGTCTATCAAATGTATTTTATAAAGCCCTTTTTACATCAGCAGTTGTCACAAAGTGCTTATACAGATACCCAGCCTAAAACCCCAAAGAGCAAGCAATGCAGATGTAGAAGCACAGTGGCAAGGAAAAACTCCCTAGAAAGGCAGAAACCTAGAGAGCAACCAAGCTCTGAGGGGTGGCCAGTCCTCTTCTGGCTGTGCTGGTGGAGATTATAAAAGAGTACAGCCATTTAGGCCAGACCGTTCTTCAAGACGTTTAAACGTTCATATATGACCAGCAGTGTCAAATAATAATCACAGTTGTTATGTGGTTATAGAGGGTGCAATAGTTCAGCACCTCAGAAGTAGCACCCCCCCAAAAAAAAAAAAAAAAGTGTAAAGTGGTTATCCCACTGGCTATAGGGTGAATGCACCAATTTGTAAGTCGCTCTGGATAAGAGCGTCTGCTAAATGACGTAAATGTGCCCTTGAGCAAGGCACTTAACCCTAATTGCTCCTGTAAGTCGCTCTGGATAAGAGCGTCTGCTAAATGACTAAGATGTAAATGTAAATGTAAGTAAATGGTGGTTGAGACAGTAGGTCCGGTAGAGAGAGAGACAGGATCAAACAGCAGGTCTGGGACAAGGTAGCACCTCAGGTGAGCCCTGAGCAGGTCAGGGTTCCATAGCCGCAGACAGAAACAGCAGAGACTGGATCAGCATCACCACCAGGTACAGTTGAAGTCGGAAGTTTACATACACCTTAGCCAAATACATTTAAACTCAGTTTTTCACAATTCCTGACATTTAATCCTAGTAAAAATTCCCTGTCTTAGGTCAGTTAGGATCACCACTTTATTTTAAGAATGTGAAATGTCAGAATAATAGTAGAGAGTGATTTATTTAAGCTTTTATTACTTTCATCACATTCCCAGTGGGTCAGAAGATTACATACACTCAATTAGTATTTGGTAGCATTGCCTTTAAATTGTTTAACTTGGGTCAAACATTTCGGGTAACCTTCCACAAGCTTCCCACAATAAGTTGGGTGAATTTTGGCCCATTCCTCCTGACAGAGCTGGTGTAACTGAGTCAGGTTTGTAGGCCTCCTTGCTCGCACACGCTTTTTCAGTTCTGCCCACTAATTTTCTATAGGATTGAGGTCAGGGCTTTGTGATGGCCACTCCAATACCTTGACTTTGTTGTCCTTGAGCCATTTTGCCACAACTTTGGAAGTATGCTTGGGGTCATTGTCCATTTGGAAGACCCATTTGCGACCAAGCTTTAACTTCCCGACTGATGTCTTGAGATGTTGCTTCAATATATCCACATAATTTTCCTTCCTCGTGATACCATCTATTTTGGGAAGTGCACCAATCTGTCCTGCAGCAAAGCACCCCCACAGCATGATGCTGCCACCCCTGTGCTTCACGGTTGGGATGGTGTTCTTCAGCTTGCAAGCAACCCCCTTTTTCCTCCAAACATAATGATGGTCATTATGGCCAAACAGTTCTATTTTTGTTTCATCAGACCAGAGGACATTTCTCAAAAAAGTACGATCTTTGTCCCCATGTGCAGTTGCAAACCGTAGTCTGGCATTTTTATGGCGGTTTTGGAGCAGTGGCTTTTTCCTTGCTGAGCGGCCTTTCAGGTTATGTCGATATAGGACTCGTTTTACTGTGGATATAGATACTTTTGTACCTGTTTCCTCCAGCATCTTCACAAGGTCCTTTGCTGTTGTTCTGGGATTGATTTGCACTTTTCACACCAAAGTACGTTAATCTCTAGGAGACAGAACGCGTCTCCTTCCTGAGCGGTATGACGGCTGCATGATCCCATGGTGTTTATACTTGCGTACTATTGTTTGTACAGATGAGCGTGGTACCTTCAGGTGTTTGGAAATTGCTCCCAAGGATGAACCAGACTTGTGGAGGTCTACAAAATTTTTTCTGAGGTCTTTGATGATTTATTTTGATTTTCCCAAGATGTCAAGCAAAGAGGCACTGAGTTTGAAGGTAGGCCTTGAAATACATGCACGGGTACACCTCCAATTGACTCAAATGATGTCAATTAGCCTATCAGAAGCTTCTAAAGCCATGACATCATTTTCTGGAATTTTCCAAGTTGTTTAAAGGCACAGTCAACTTAGTGTATGTAAACTTCTGACCCACTGGAATTGTGATACAGTGAATTATAAGTGAAATAATCTGTCTGTAAACAATTGTTGGAAAAATGACTTGTGTCATGCACAAGGTAGATGTCCTAACCGACATGCCAAAACGATAGTTTGTTAACAAGACATTTGTGGAGTGGTTGAAAAACGAGTTTTAATGACTCCAACCTAAGTGTATGTAAACTTCCGACTTCAACTGTATACTGGGGACAGCCAGGAGTCATCAGGCCAGGTAGTCCTGAGGCATGGTCCTCGAGCTCATGTCCTGCATCCTTTATTTAACTTGAGTGTAGACTAACCCTAGATGTTTTGTAACTTCACATAATTTAGCCTACTTGTCAATCCAGATCTGAGTATTTGATATCCTTTTTACTGTTGATAGTCATTTTTCCCAAAGTTAATCACTGAATGTCCTACTACAAGGATGTGCGTATGTTATCGTGTGTGTGCATGTGTCTATGCCTGTGTTTGTCTTTTCACAGTCCCCGCTGTTCCATAAGGTGTATTTTTTATCTATTTTAAATATCTAATTTTAATGCTTGCATGAGTTACTTGATGTGGAATGGAGTTCCATGTAGTCATGACTCTGTGTACTACTGTGCGCCTCCCATAGTCTGTTCTGTTTAGGTTAGTGTGTAGTCAAGATAATATTGTGCCTATCTTTCAGATCTGCCAACCAGGCTCGGTGGGTGACAGGTAGCCGTTTTTCCACCAAGCTGTTCCAGGCCTGGAGTGGCACGCTGGAGCTTCCAGAGGCTAGTAGACCTAAAGCAGTGTGATGTGGTCCAGGTAATTATCACACACACGTATACATACTCACTCATTCACTCTGTTTTGTTGTATAATTATTTTCACTTAAGAAAATTGTTCCTCTCGCCTTTAGATCTGACACCCCTATTAGTTCAACCACAGCCCTCACAGCTGCATTCGCCTGCCCCTGCTACACCGGCCGCGACAGGTGATACAGGTAATTATCACATACATGTATACACACATGCATACTCTCCCTCACTTTTGGCTCTATTCAATCACATTCGTTTTAGCCTGCATCCGCATAGCGGTTGTTTTGGCGGTGTCTGAGGTGGAACTGTGTTAGAGCTGTCAAATCCACAAGGGGCTCCTGGCGTTATACCTAAAGCTGACATTGCCATTGGCTGCATGGAGTCGAATTAAAAGAAATCTCATGCAGCCCTGTTTACAAGTTTGAAAACATGAATGTGAGATTTAATCTACACCTGGATTAGGCTGATAAAGTCCTCATTATTTTGTTTAATGATGTTGAATTTGAGCGTCATTATTTCTTTATAGCCTACCCTTTCTCGTTCTGAACTTGTAACGCGAGTAGGATGGTGTAGTTTTCGTGACAATGATCAAGAGCAGCTGCTTACCGATTTGACAGATCCAACGCAGTAACACCTCAGACACTTCCAAAACATCAGCTATGCGGTTGTCGGCTATCGCCTGTTAACGCTTGATCTGATTGAATCTAGGCCTTACACTCATTCAGTCTGTTTAGTTGTATGATTATTGTCAGTTAAGAAAATTGTGCCTCTCTCTTTTAGATCTGCCACCCCCAGCAGTTCAGCTGCAGTCACAGCAGTCCTCTGCTATGGCATTTAATTTACCGGCTGCACCAGTTCCTACTACACTGGCCGTGAAAGGAGACACTTTTGAGGATTCCCAGATGGATGCAGGTAAATCAGAATTATATTGCATATGCTCACTCACACCAACAGATGTGCACACAGACACATATACTTACTGTCACTTTGTGCATCTCTCTTTCAGATCTGCCATGCACTCCACCACTGCCTGACAGCCTCACCCAGAAGTGCATACACTGGGCCTATCAAGACTGACAAAGCAGAGATGGGTGGCTGATACGGAAAAATAAAACACAACATGCTCACACTCTCTCTCTGTCACACACACTCACACACATTATCCCCAGTGTAAATACGTTGTAATTACTTGTTTATTTTTTGTTTGCTCCATTTTATTTTAGGATTGGAGATATCTACTCCTACATACAGTGGGGAGAACAAGTATTTGATACACTGCCGATTTTGCAGGTTTTCCTACTTACAAAGCATGTAGAGGTCTGTAATTTTTATCATAGGTACACTTCAACTGTGAGAGACGGAATCTAAAACAAAAATCCAGAAAATGACATTGTATGATTTTTAAGTAATAATTTGCATTTTATTGCATGACATAAGTATTTGATACATCAGAAAAGCAGAACTTAATATTTGGTACAGAAACCTTTGTTTGCAATTACAGAGATCATACGTTTCCTGTAGGTCTTGACCAGGTTTGCACACACTGCAGCAGGGATTTTGGCCCACTCCTCCATACAGACCTTCTCCAGATCCTTCAGGTTTCGGGGCTGTCGCTGGGCAATACGGACTTTCAGCTCCCTCCAAATATTTTCTATTGGGTTCAGGTCTGGAGACTGGCTAGGCCACTCCAGGACCTTGAGATGCTTTTTACGGATCCACTCCTTAGTTGCCCTGGCTGTGTGTTTCGGGTCGTTGTCATGCTGGAAGACCCAGCCACGACCCATCTTCAATGCTCTTACTGAGGAAAGGAGGTTGTTGGCCAAGATCTCGCGATACATGGCCCCATCCATCCTCCCCTCAATACGGTGCAGTCGTCCTGTCACCTTTGCAGAAAAGCATCCCCAAAGAATGATGTTTCCACCTCCATGCTTCACGGTTGGGATGGTGTTCTTGGGGTTGTACTCATCCTTCTTCTTCCTCCAAACACGGCGAGTGGAGTTTAGACCAAAAAGCTCTATTTTTGTCTCATCAGACCACATGACCTTCTCCCATTCCTCCTCTGGATCATCCAGATGGTCATTGGCAAACTTCAGACGGGCCTGGACATGTGCTGGCTTGAGCAGGGGGACCTTGCGTGCGCTGCAGGATTTTAATCCATGACGGCGTAGTGTGTTACTAATGGTTTTCTTTGAGACTGTGGTCCCAGCTCTCTTCAGGTCATTGACCAGGTCCTGCCGTGTAGTTCTGGGCTGATCCCTCACCTTCCTCATGATCATTGATGCTCCACGAGGTGAGATCTTGCATGGAGCCCCAGACCGAGGGTGATTGACCGTCATCTTGAACTTCTTCCATTTTCTAATAATTGCGCCTACAGTTGTTGCCTTCTCACCAAGCTGCTTGCCTATTGTCCTGTAGCCCATCCCAGCCTTGTGCAGGTCTACAATTTTATCCCTGATGTCCTTACACAGCTCTCTGGTCTTGGCCATTGTGGAGAGGTTGGAGTCTGTTTGATTGAGTGTGTTTACAGGTGTCTTTTATACAGGTAACAAGTTCAAACAGGTGCAGTTAATACAGGTAATGAGTGGAGAACAGGAGGGCTTCTTAAAGAAAAACTAACAGGTCTGTGAGAGCCGGAATTCTTACTGGTTGGTAGGTGATCAAATACTTATGTCATGCAATAAAATGCAAATTAATTACTTAAAAATCATACAATGTGATTTTCTGGATTTTTGTTTTAGATTCCGTCTCTCACAGTTGAAGTGTACCTATGATAAAAATTACAGACCTCTACATGCTTTGTAAGTAGGGAAACCTGCAAAATCGACAGTGTATCAAATACTTGCTCTCCCCACTGTATCCATCCTCAATATCTACATCATTACTCTAAATATCTATCCAAGTGTGATTGATAATATTGTAAAATACTATTGCTTAATGTGTACAGTTTGAAGAACTTCTGTGTGCTTTTTTCTGAGTTGAAAAACATGCCTCCCTCTCACACACACATTAGACCCAATGTAAACACATTGTTTCTTTTATGGATGTTCCATTTTAATTGAGGATTGTGTGCAATAAAGTACATTCACAGTTAAAGCAAGAGTTTGGTTTATTGGATATTTCTCTGATTAAAATGTATGACCAAAAGGAAGTCGGCAGACCTACAACCCTTTGAGAGTATGTGCAGGTTTTGTCATCTGGAGCTGAAACAGGGCCCCAACAGCCCTCACATATGTACAGGGTTCCCAGGAGTGGCAGGCAAATATGTTTATTGTCCTGCAAAATTATTGGCTATCCATCCACATTGCTCAAGCCAAAGTCTGTTCTCCACAATGAATATATGTAGCGATTAAAATTCAGGGTGAGTCATCAGGCAACCAAGGCCAAGGAATGGAGAGAGATTACCTGGATGGAGTTCCAGACCTCAGCTTTTTATGAAGCAGAAAAGCAGAGATGGGTGGCTAACAAGAAAAATAAAACACACACATTAGTATGCAAATATGTAAATATATTGTAATTCCTTGTTTATTTTATATGTATGCTCCATTTTATTTTAGGATTGGAGATATTTAGGCCTACAGATTGTGTTATCTATTTCCCACAACAGACATGTGCAGTGGTGCTTACTCACAGTTGGTGGAGAGGGCATGGTTAGGAGAGATGGTGGCTGACAGGGAAAAATAAAATACAACATGCACACACATTCTCTCGCTCTCCCACACACGCACACAATAGTCTGTGTGGTTTTGTCTGAGTTACAAAACATGACTTTCTCACACTCACACCCCCACATTAGACCCAATGTAAATAAATTGTAATAACCTTTTTTATTTATGTATGCTCCATTTTATTTCAGGAAAATGTCTGCAATAAAGTACATTCACAGTTAAAGAAATGTCTTTAGTTTATTGGATATTTCTCTGAATAAAATGTGTGACCAAAAGGAAGTCGGCAGACCTGCAAATCATGGAGTGTGTGCAGGTTTTGTCATCTGGAGCTGAAACATAGAGAGATGAGGAGGGAGGGGAGGAAGAGTGCAGTGTAAAGGTTTATCATTAATAACTGACACAATTCTATAATTAATACATATTAGAATAATAATACCTAATAGAATGACCAAGAGCTACTGTATTGTGATTGTTTAGTGTTTTAATAACTCAGCAAGTAGTGCCCCAAGGAGGGATCGAACAGTGTCTCAAAAGCACCAGAAAAGGTCAAATAAGGTCACCAAAATTTCCGTTACGGCTATACACGACTGGCACCCGCGAGAGAGTTATGTTTTGTAACTCAGACAAAAGCACACAGAATTTACCCACAAACTATCCACATATAAAATGAAATGGAGCATACATAAAATAAACAAGTAATTACAATTGATTTACATATTCACATATGATTGTGTGTGTGTGTGTGTGTGTGTGGATGTTGTATTTTATTTTTCCTTGTCAGCCACCATCTCTCCTAACCATGCCCTCTCCACCAACTGTGAGTAAGCACAACTGCACATGGCCATTGTTGGAAAAGGATAACACAATCTGTAGGCCTAAATATATCCAATCCTAAAATAAAATGTAGCATACATATAAAATAAACAAGTAATTACAATGTATTTACATATTTGCATTAATGTGTGTGTGTGTGAGAGAGTGTGTGTATGTTTATTTTTTCTTGTTAGCCACCCATCTCTGCTTTTCTGCATAAAAATACGCCGACAAAATACGCAGGTATTTGGTGTTTTATGTGTTTATGTATGTAGATTGGTGGACTGACTGTTCTCAATGTGTGTGATGTAAATGTGGATGTGTATGGTGATGCCAAAACAAACATTTTCATCCTGGATGGACAATTATATATTATAATCTATTGTAGGTTTCGGTACCCAGGGGAAACAATCCCACCACTGGGGAAGAGATGGTGGGAAATGTTCAGGAGGAGGCACAAGAACCTGAGCTTGAGAAGGCCGGACACCCTGGACAGGGGGAGAGCTGAGTGTGCCACACGTCTGACGAATGACACCTTCTTCACTTCTTATGAGAAGCACTTGCTGGCTCCCTGGGACGCAAAACACGTGTACCAGCAGGCTCCGGGGACCAAGGAGCACATCACAGTGCTGGCCTGTTTCAACGCAGCTGGGGAGGACGTACCCCCATTTATCATCTACCCCAAGTGTTTCCCCGGTGGACACTACACACTGGGAGGTCCCTACCTGGTCCCACCACCATCTCTCCTGGAACCAGCTGTGCCGTCCATCAGCACCTCCTCCCCAGTGACCACAGGAGGATCCTCAGCCCCTGCTCCAGTCCCAGCCCTAGCTTTAGAAGAGCACCCCCTAATAGAGGGGGGGCTGATAGCGAAGGACCTGGGGCACATCCTCACTGTCCTGAAGTATCGGCTAGACCGATACAGAAGACTCCCTGTGGTCGCCACATGCCTCACCGGGGAGGAATACACGTGCCAGTGGCAGGAGAGGGGTGAGAAGGAGAGGGCTGAGGCAGAGGAGAAAGAGCGTCGGGCAGCCCTCAGAACACAGAGGGCACAGGAGAGGGCTGCCATGGATGAGACCATTGACGCCATCGCCTCCGCTGGACCCCCTGCTGGAACATTAACCACCTAGCTAGCTAGTGATAGCTTAGCTAGCTAGCTCCAAAGAAACAGCCAACGACATCAACAGGCTTTTTAAAGAAACATTTATCTAGCTAGCTAGTATGATTTCATGTAAAATACCTTTACAGATGATTAAAGTTCGAATGCAAAGTTGACATACAGGTCTGCTGCTCTTGGGAACTAGATGGAGGCATCCACATAGGTTAGCTAGCGCCGTTAGCATGTTAGCTATTAAACTATCTATCCAGCAAGAATGTTGAGGTCAAAAACTAAAGAAACTATGTTAAACCATGCAGATTTAGTAAGATAAGTCCAATCGGACTTAAATCATTAACAGGCTGAACGTACAATTCTGTGACTCCCCAGCTAACAATGACCTGTCGGTCCACCAGCTTTTTTTGGGTGGCACGCCGTCAGCGGCTTGCCTCGGTCAGGCCTCCGGCGGCAGACCATCCGCAAGCCGATATTCGGCAAAT